TATGTATTCCTTTAAAATACATAAAGGAAACAACAAACCTTTGTCAATGGGAGAGCTTCTTTTAAACAACAGAAGAGGCCGAGGGGTTCTCTTTCTGCCGTCATAAGAAAAATATATCTAATAATTACATGGAGAACACGTGTAAAATATACCATAATACTGTATAACCCCATATTTATACTTATAACACTGGGTAACAAAAAAATATGTTTTGAAAATAGTCCAGGGTTTTCAGCTGAATTAGACTAATGTCGATGCTCTGAGTCCGAAAATGACCTTGGTTTTGCTCAATCAGGTCAGGATTTTTGCTACAGAAATATTTTTTTAAATCGATTTTGCATAAAAAACCCTTGACGTTTTTTCCGTTTTCCTCAAGAAATAAAAGTCAACGTATCCAAAGTCATTCAGTTTTTATTTACTCAAATTTGATAAGCAGAATTCATAATAACGTAGACGTACATAATCCGTAACACTATGGCTGTATCTCAAACAGTTGACCTGATAGAGCAACATGCATGTGATATTCAGACTCAGAACACCAACATTAGTCTGAATCAGTTGAGAAACCCCTGAGCATTTTTTGGCTGTCAACTTGTGTAATATATATGAAATGACTCAAAATGTTTTTATTCCAGATTATTTGTTTAATTCTTAATCCTTTGGCAAGCTCCCTGAAAGGAGCTATACTACTATAAATGCTTTGCCAATAACCCACTGCTGCCAGTAGAAAAAATATGCTAAGAAGTGGTTTAGATACTGTATACCATCAAGTATTTAGACCCTATACTCAGATGAAAAAGTGCTTTCCCAGTCACTACTGTTGTCAGTGCTCACAGTATAATTAATAACGTCAATGGGACTCAGGACTTCAATGGGACACAATGAAAAAAACCACTTTCCCCTTTTTCTGATCCATACACAGATCAGTGAATGACTATTTTCATCAACTCCGAAGACGTGGGCAGAGCTCATTTGTCAGCCCTGGACACTCCACCTCCGGGGAACAGCGCAAACCCAGGACCCATCGACATTCTGCCCATAAACGCCGTTGGATCGTCCTAACGCCCAAACCGATCATGACAGTTTTCCATTCGAATCAAGCCGCTCTGACTCACCAAACAATTACCGCAGCATTACAACAAACCCCAACACCTACTTTGTGGCAAGATTGGTTTCTGCATGATTGGATTGTTTGGTCATAGGTCAACAAACCAGCGAGAAGGAGAAAAAAAAACAATTATAACAGCGCTCGCCGGCGTGAACATGTGTCGTGCACGGCCAGAGAAAGCGGCGCACGGAGAGGACGCATGTTTACGCCACCGCAGCGATGATTGGGGCGAGGCGGCGCATGTTCCAATCTGAAGCACAACTTAATCGCCCGCGCAGCGTATTGGCAGCCGACGCTCAGCTCAATTATTATTCTCCTGTCTCAGCTCGGCCCCGGCGTGCTCACTCTTGTATCTGTGGCTTTTTTTCACTTTAACTATTTTTTTTATAAAGCTGCGGATAGTTTTGTGGAATGGTTTGAGTTTGAGCAGAAAGAAAGAGAAAAAATCAATAGTTCAGTGGAAATAACGTTTATTTTTAGTTGCAATGAAAAATACTTGAATAAAATTCTCTGAGCGCTTACTTATCCTTATCCCTGTGAGCTGAGACAGATGAACTGACTTTCCAGGGCTGAGAACGAATAGAGGACTCACAGGTATACACAGGTACACACAGGTACTCACAGGTACACACAGGTACTCACAGGTACACACAGGTACACACAGGTACTCACAGGTACACACAGGTACTCACAGGTACACACAGGTACACACAGCTACTCACAGGTATACACAGGTACACACAGGTACACACATGTTCGCTGCAAAGTCCTCTCTCTGTCCCTGGCTCAGACTGACTCCCAATATTGTTAAAACAGTTTTATCAAAATGTGCAGAAGGGAAGGAAGTGTGTCTGACGACGTCATCTTGACTCCATATATGGTAAAGGCCCCAGGACCGGAAGTGCAAGTCCTGGACTGGTCTGAGTCCTGGTCGGGTTCCCGAACTCCCTTTTTGGAGAGATTAGAGTCCCACTCTAGACAAGAAACAAGATCCAAAGCTGTCCTTGATTTGCACTGAACTAATATGAAAACACATAATATTAAAAAAAACACTTTTCTTATCCATGCATTTGTCTCCAGTAGGTTAGACTACTGCAATGGCCTGCTCACAGGTTAGGGGGAGGGTTAGGGTGCCACAGTGCCAAACACTCAAAGGAGCAGTATGAAATGAAAACAATCACAAGCTGTAAAACTCATTTTGAAATCTAAATATCTCTGAACTACCGGTATCATTTAAAGAAGTATTGGAAAATAACATGGTTTATTAATGCCTTTTGACAGATTAGGGCCCTTTAATGAAGACAGATTAGGGCCCTTTAATGTAGCCTGACTCTGCCCAGACCCTTGCAGTTCGCTGACCCAGACTCCACAAGGGTCTGGGTCGCCTTCATAGAGGATGAATTTCAGAAAAAAGTCCTTGCATGTGATTTGATAAACCACTTGTCTGTTATCTTAAATGACGTGCTCCTTCAACCACTCACATCGAAGCACACGACTCCTCAATGCGTTGAAGAGTTGCCAAATGCCGGCAGGATTTTCCGGCCCAAAACCCGCGAGAATGCCCAAAAAAAAAACACACAGAATGATTTTTTTGGCTAAAAACGTAATGCAATCAACTTAAACTGTCATGATTCTGTTTATTGTCTTTCTGTTTATTTATTACCTGCAATTTGTCTGGAACAAAAGTATGCGGGAAACCACCCAACCTGGCAACCCTGCTGCATAGTGTTGTGACAGCACTTTGATCTACTGAAAGACTTTGCATTGGCGTCGATCCCAAACCCTTGTGTTCAGCCAAACGCCTCTGGTGGAGCATGGCGGAACTACAAGGGTCTGGCAAGTGTCAGGCTACCTTTAATGATTAAGATTAGGGCCCTTTAATGGTGACAGATTAGGGCCCTTTAATGATTATAGATTAGGGCCCCTTAATGAGGACAGATTAGGGCCCCTTAATGATGACAGATTAGGGCCCTTTAATCATGACAGATTAGGGCCCTTTAATGATGAAAGATTAGGGCCCTTTAATCATGACAGATTAGGGCCCTTTAATGATGAAAGATTAGGGCCCTTTAATGGTGACAGATTAGGGCCCTTTAATGAAGACAGATTAGGGCCCTTTAATGGTGACAGATTAGGGCCCTTTAATGAAGACAGATTAGGGCCCTTTAATGAAGACAGATTAGGGCCCTTTAATGAAGACAGATTAGGGCCCTTTAATGGTGACAGATTAGGGCCCTTTAATGGTGACAGATTAGGGCCCTTTAATGATGACAGATTAGGGCCCTTTAATGATGACTTGACATGAAAATCTTACATATTGACACTTTAAGGATTAATATAAGAACACTTAAAACACAGATTTAAAACATACATCCTTCTGGGTTGGGGGATGGCAGTCAGAGCTCCACCTGCCCCTGGTGTTGGAGACTGGAATTGTTATTGATGCTAGAGTTAGAGATTTTATTTTATTTTATTTGAATGAATATAGTTATTGTTCACTTATCTTGTGTCGTGTGCTCCTCTTTCCTATTGTTTTATAACTTGTGATGCAACACTGAAATTTCACCACCGTGGGACCAATAAAAGATCTTTTAATCTTAAATCTAAATAAAACATTTCATTTTCAAATATAGAGTTTCATAGTTTGATAAATATTGCCACGTAAAAGAAATCATAATAGTGTTCATGTTTAGGCGTGTGCTGGTGGCTGAGTGGTTAGTATTCTCGCTTCTCAGCAAGAAGGTCCTGGGTTTAAATCCCGGTCGGAACAGGGCCTTTCTGAGCGGAGTTTGCATGTTCTCCCCGTGTCAGCTCCGGTATCCTCTGGGTGCTCTGGTTTCCCCTACCACTAAAAACATGTACAATAGGTCTGGCATAAGCTTCCTGTACTGGCCCCGCCCCCATCTCTGTGGAGCGAGAGACTAAATGACAAAAAAATGACAGTAAACCGCTTTGTGACTCTGGTCTGCAAAAGGCGCTTTATGAATAAAGATTACTTACTGCTGAATTTAAAATCCACGGAAACAGACCAGCAGATAGACCAAAGCCAGTCCGCAGCGAGGAGAGGATCTCAGTTCAGTTTAGTTTCACTTTTGGACGATGATAAAAGAACTTGTGGTGGAGAGGAAACAGATGTCTCTTTGCCAAACCATTACTGAATCAGTAAAATATGCATTTCTTCCGTATCAAATCCCCAGGTAAATTATTTTGTGGAACCAATTACTTTATTTCTACAACTAAAGAAGCTCCATCCTTTGAGACGTGGCACAGCAGGGGGTTCAGGTGAAGCGGGGTAATCACAGAGCAGTCATTAGTGCTTTTCATGGACAGACTGGGGCCGCGGTTCACTTCTATTTTTAAACTCAGAATACGTTTAAGGATAATCACAGTTTGAGGCCAATATGGAAATCTTACTACAGCGGAGGTAGTTTTACACAACTCTGCAAAATAAAAAGTCTGAATTTGAGCAAAGAAACTGGAGAGAAACTTGTTTTAGCGACAGAGCTTCAGACCAGAGTCAGATCCATACAATACTATTCATGATTTACTGTTACTTATAAAACAATAAACATGATTCTGATTCTAAATTATATGATTCAGGGAAACATAAGGATGCACTGGTATGATACTGGTGTGAGATACTGGTGTTGAATACTGGTGTCGGATACTGGTGTCGGATACTGGTGTCAGATACTGGTGTTGAATACTGGTGTCGGATACTGGTGTCAGATACTGGTGTCAGATACTGGTGTTGAATACTGGCAGTCAGCCAACTTCAGGAAAGTCACGGCGCTACTTTAATAAATACAACACTCTGATGTGGCTGAAATCTGAAGTCCTTCTCAGCACTTCTCTCTCTTCACTTCAAAGTGCTGAGTTCTGCTGCTGTTTAATGAACATATTTCAGGTCCAGTCACATCAAAGAAGAGGAATAACCTCCGCTGTTCTGGCTACAACGGCCGCCCTCTGCCTCCTCGGGACGTCCACGGAGCACTCTCTACAACAGTCGCCCTCTGCCTCCACGGGACGCACACGGAGCACTCTCTACAACGGTCGCCCTCTGCCTCCACGGGACGTCCACGGAGCACTCTCTACAACGGTCGCCCTCTGCCTCCACGGGACGTCCACGGAGCACTCTCTACAACTACAACGGTCGCCCTCTGTCTCCACGGGACGTCCACGGAGCACTCTCTGCAACAGTCGCCCTCTGCCTCCACGGGACGTCCACGGAGCACTCTCTACAACAGTCGCCCTCTGTCTCCACGGGTACGTCCACAGAGCACTCTCTACAACAGTCGCCCTCTGCCTCCACGGGACGTCCACGGAGCACTCTCTACAACGGTCGCCCTCTGCATCCACGGGACGTCCACAGAGCACTCTCTACAACAGTCGCCCTCTGCCTCCACGGGACGCACATGGAGCACTCTCTACAACAGTCGCCCTCTGCCTCCACGGGACGCACATGGAGCACTCTCTACAACGGTCGCCCTCTGCCTCCACGGGACGCTCACGGAGCACTCTCTACAACGGTTGCCCTCTGCCTCCACGGGACGCACATGGAGCACTCTCTACAACGGTTGCCCTCTGCCTCCACGGGACGTCCACGGAGCACTCTCTACAACAGTCGCCCTCTGCCTCCACGGGACGCACATGGAGCACTCTCTACAACAGTCGCCCTCTGCCTCCACGGGACGTCCACGGAGCACTCTCTACAACGGTCGCCCTCAGCCTCCACGGGCCGTCCACAGAGCACTCTCTACAACAGTCGCCCTCTGCCTCCACGGGACGCACATGGAGCACTCTCTACAACGGTTGCCCTCTGCCTCCACGGGACGTCCACGGAGCACTCTCTACAACAGTCGCCCTCTGCCTCCACGGGACGCACATGGAGCACTCTCTACAACGGTCGCCCTCTGCCTCCACGGGACGTCCACGGAGCACTCTCTACAACGGTCGCCCTCTGCCTCCACGGGACGTCCACGGAGCACTCTCTACAACAGTCGCCCTCTGCCTCCACGGGACGTCCACGAAGCACTCTCTACAACGGTCGCCCTCCGCCTCCACGAAGCACTCTCTATTCTCTGCAATATCTTAAAAAGTAAAAGTTAGAATCTATTCAAAGTCTTTAGTTTGACAGTTCTGTGTCTTAGAAGTGAGAGCTCTGCTGAAGGGTCTGCTGAAGTTATTTTTGCAGTTATTAAAACATTCCACAGAATTTCTCTTTGAGATGTTTGAGATTTTTCAGTGCACTGGGAAAAAAAACTTGAATGAAAAAGAGAAATAACAATAAGTAAAATACTGCTTAAAATCATAAAAAGTATCTTTAATAGAACAATGAAATATGACAAGATTTATGAAAATGAAAAAATTAAACTAGCCCCAAACGACTTGATTCTAGTTTCAAGTATTATTGACTTATTTCTTAAACATGTTTGAGAAATGTTTTCTTAAAATACAGCCTCAAATTTATTTTATCTAAACAAGAAAAGTCTGGAAATTAAATAAAAAATACATAAAACAGGCCTAAAAACTGCTCAGACTTTTTTCTCTGAGATTATGAAAAAATATTATCTTAAAACTAGTAAAATAATATTACGCAACAAAAACCTACCATTATTAATAGCCATCATTTACCATAATTTATTTTGAGTAAATAAATCTCACAACGATTTTACTTTTTCCAGTGCTTTGATGTGTTGCAACATTCATTCATCTGAGTTCAGTTCCATCAAGTCCTTTTTCTACACATGCTGCTGGATTGTTAACAAATAAATACTTCAAAGTACTTTCAAACGAGGATGGAATGGACTAGTTTTTATTTGCCTGATCAAATCACAGCAGCAGTTTTCAATTTGGCAACAATTCATTTTCAATTCAATTAATCCTTGTATCATTAAAGTTGAAATGTATGATCCTGGGCTGGTTATAGCTATAAATAAAAAAATATTACATTTATTTTATATGTCTACATACAGTACATGTTCAGACGGGTTTTTAGGCCCGAGCCCCAACTGGGGTAAGGGCCTATTGCTTTTCCAACGAGTAATGCCTGGGCGAAGCCCGGAGATTGTGACCTGCACGCGACGGCACGTGCCCATGCACTGATAAACCCTATTAAAGGGGGTTCCTTCAACTGTCTTACGGACGAATGTTGCGTGACCAGACACTGATAAAACAGTGGCTTTGCTCCTGCTGTAGTACACAGTGTAATGAATGGGGTGCTATGGGGGGGGGTGGGTGACCTTATGATGGCGACAACATCAAACATCAAACCAGCCGCGGCCGTTTCACTAATTTGGCTGAAAATCGCTCCACATGGTCTCAACACATGGACCATCAATAGTTGAATATAGAATTTGAATTAGTCAAATGGAGACTGTATGGACACACTCACAGATTGTATGTGCAAACAGGAGCACATTCACAAACTCTGATTTGAACTAAACTTGACTCGGTTGTTCAACTCCTGGGCCTAGGTCACATGACAGTGTGAACAATGACATTGTCCCATTAGCGCCCCCTACAGGCTGAGTAAAGGTTTACATGGGGATAAAGGTATTTGGGTTTTCTGTTGTTTGATCTCATATTTGACCCACTGAACACACACGAAAACTCACCAAACTTTGCCACAAGTTTTTTTCAGGCATAAAGTGTATTATTTTGGTGTTCTTTGGTGAAACACAAAAAAATTGAAATTGTAGGGGGCGCTATTGTACAACATAAATGCCCGTCATTTTCACATACAAAGTCCGATTTGCACAAAATTTGAATTGATTGTTCAACTCTCGGGTTTGGGTAAACTGAAAGTGTAAAAGACTAAATTGCAACAATAGCGCCCCCTACAGACTGAGTCAAGTATTACATGGGGAGAATGTGGTTTACCTTTTCAAAGACACACACAATCACTGATCATAGGCATTGAAAATGCACAGTGTCGCACCCATCAGGGCGGCAGGAAAATGGCACGTCAGCGCCACCTCGGTTGCGTTGTGCGGCGAGGGCCGTTCGACGCCGCTTGCGGCTTTAATTTTCTATTTGATTTTACTGTTTTATTATGGACTTGCTTAAATAAGTCTTTTATTGTGCAGCACTTTGGAAACTGTTATGTTATTTTCATCCCCTTTAATTTTTCCATTTCTGGGTCGGGGGGGGGGGGGGGGGATCAGAGGGGTGGCAATCAGAGCTGCCCCAAGTCTCACAGCACCAGACCCTCGCTGATCCTCTGCAGGTGGTGGGTCCACAGGAAGATGGCTGCTCCGTCAGTGAAGTCTTTCAGCGGGGGCTTCAGGCAACATGGGGTTAAGTGTCTTGCCCAAGGACACAACGACCCACAACCAAAGACCAGTGCTCTACCAACTACTTTGGAAACTGTGTTTATGAAATGTGCTATATACAGTAACTAAAGTGGATTGGATTTTTTTCACCACAGAAAAGAGAGTGGTTGTCACGGCAACAGTTGGTTTGTTTTGAAATATTTCCGGGAGTCCTTTTGCTAATTATCAATCACAGCCTGAAGCTCTGCATCTGTGTCCCAGCAACCGACAAATGTGGTAAATCTGTGGCTGAAAAATGGCCCAAAAAATGGTTTTGAGTTCATCTTTCCACGTCTGATGTAATGTATGCATGAAATACAGCAGCACACATGTTTAATGCAATCAAATTCTTCTAAGATGTGGCTCTTGGGAACACACTGTCAGAGCCGTATCACAACATCACATGGGCACCAACAGAAATGTGTGTGTTTTTTTATGACATTGCACAGATTTCATGATAATCCCGTGACATGTACCGCTGCCGTTTCTCTTCCTCAGTTCCCTCGTCTGAGTAAGGGATTGGGAAGTTGAGATAAAAGCGGAGAAGGATTGGAAGTGTCCTGGAGCAGGGTTCATGCGAGGGCCGAGGGAATCCAGAGATGATGAGACTCAGAGGGAACGACAAAGACACAGCGGACGGATGGATCAGAACCAGAATAACATATGTTGCCTTGTAGGTATCTGTGTATATATATATATGTGTGTGTGTATGCTCTTACACTGAAGGGTCAAACCGGAAGTGTATGTCTGTACCCAATAAATGACGCGGTGCGCTCCATGCGTGAGATTGAGCCGGTCAAAGAGACTGATGAGTTGTGTGTTTTCCTCCGTCAGTAGATTCTTGTTACCACGGTTATCCCGCCCTCATAATGCTGCGATCAACAGGTTATGGGCCCAGAAGGGATGGAGGAGGCCGATGGAACCGATTGTGCTTCGACGGGGACGAAAGAAATTATGAACTGTGGGAAACTAAATTCTTGGGACACCTGCGGCTGCTCGGGCTGAAGGAGGCCATTTTAAACGAGCCAGGTGAGCAAGAGGAAGATGAAGATTCTCACGAAGCTAAGAACGAAGAAGCTTATGCTGAGCTTATTCAAGTCTTGGACGATAGAAGCCTCTCACTTGTGATGAGAGAAGCTACAGACAATGGAAGAGAAGCGCTTAAGATACTAAGAGAGCACTACTCTGGTAAAGGCAAGACTCGTGTTATTAGCCTGTACACGGAGCTAACATCGCTTCAGAAGACTGAGAGCGAGAGCGTGACAGACTATATCATACGAGCAGAGAATGCCATCACAGCTTTAAGAAATGCTGAAGAGACTTTGAGCGATGGGTTGCTTGTGGCAATGGTACTAAAAGGATTGCCTGAAAGTTTCAAGCCATTTTCCATCCACATTACCCAGAGCGAAAAAGAAATCAAATTCAGCGAGTTCAAAGCAAAGCTAAGGAGCTACGAGATCACAGAAAAGCCTGTAAACTCAGAAGACAACGTAATGAAGATGAGTAACTGGCAGAGAAATAAAAACAGAGACAATGTAGAGATCAAATGTTACAACTGTGGAAAGAAAGGTCATATTGCACGTGAATGCTATGCGAAGAGTGACAGACCTGAGTCTAAGGAGAAGCAGTGGTGTAGTTACTGCAACAGTTCCACACATAAAGACAATAATTGTAGACTACAAAAAAAGACGAATGTTAAACATGTTGCAGATTCTGAAGATCATAGTTTTGCATTCAAAGTAAATGACTGGAATGTTCCGGGGCTGAAACAGAGAGGCTTGATGGTCGATACAGGAGCCACGTCTCACATTGTAACGAACATTAAAAGTTTCAAAAGGTTTGACGATGCTTTCACACCGGAAAGTCACTTCATGGAGCTGGCGGACGGGACGAGAGCGAGTGGTGTCGCGCTAAAGAGAGGAGCGGCAGAAGTCTACCTGCAGGACAGCGAGGGACACCGTGTAAAGGCAACGCTGGAAGGAGCACTTTACATCCCCTCATATCCACAGGACATCTTCTCAGTCCAGGCAGCGACGACCAGCGGAGCAGCAGTCACATTCAAGAAAGGATGCAACCAACTTGTTCACAAGAATGGTACAAGGTTCGACATCAATGAATATGGACGCTTGTACTACCTGAGTACAGTTGAGGTAAACAATGACTATGATGAATGCAATGGATGTCATGATATTGAAACTTGGCACAGAATTCTTGGACACTGTAATTATGAAGATTTGTCTAAACTAGAAAATGTTACTATGGGTATGAAGATCAAAGGGAAAGCTAAGCAAGATTGTAAAGTGTGTGTTAAAGGAAAGTTTATACAAACCAGAAGTAGAGAGCCTGACGAGAGAGCAAAAGCGGCGTTAGAGCTAGTGCACACTGACTTAGCGGGACCGATTGACCCAGAGGCAAAAGACGGGTTCAGATACTCTATAGCTTTTACTGACGACTATTCAGGTACAACTTTTGTTTATTTCTTGAAAGCTAAAAGTGACACTGTAGAAGCGATTGAGAAATTTCTAGCAGATGTCGCCCCCTATGGGAAAGTGAAAAGAATCAGATCAGACAACGGCACAGAGTTCACTTCCAGAGAGTTTCAATCATTACTTAGAAAGAACGCAATAAGACATGAAACCTCTGCACCATACTCACCCCATCAGAATGGGACGGCCGAGAGAAATTGGAGAACACTATTTGAGATGGCACGTTGTATGTTGCTTGAGAGTAATTTACCTAAAAGACTATGGACTTATGCTGTTATGACTGCTGCAGTGATTCG